GCATCTGCGGTCTGATGCTGAACTCTGGTTACGGCTGGTTCAACCCGGTCCACGAAATAGCGATCCAAGTCGTCGGGAGCAGCACAGGTCGCCTGACCGTAGAGAACCCTTGAGGCGGCCCAGGGAGGAGGGGACGAGGGAGCCGAAAGCTGAAGCATGCTGAAGCCGAAGCCCACAGCAGAAGCCCAGCCGGACTGACTCTGCCTCTGCGCATCCTCTGGGCGGATTCTTGCAAGCCCTGTCTGGCGCCAGGCTCTAAACCCAGCTCCCGGTGCAAAGCGACCTGATTAAGCCGCGGTCTGTTTCTGTTTGTATTCCCGCGCCTGGCTTGGACACTTGCTCGCCAGTGCAGGGTTGCACGGCAGCACAGCGCAGTCGCAGGGCTTCGTCGTTGGAGGAGCTGGCAAATTTTCGCAGACCTCCTGCGAGCAGCAAACTGTACAAAACTGGAATTTCATCAACGGCTGCACGACAGCCATTGTTCGACATCGAATGTGCATTCCAAGCCGAATCGGTGTGGCTGCCAAAATCACATGATAACAACACTGCTTGACATTCATGCCACCCATGACGGTGACAGACCCCGGGCGCTCCGGCGGCAGCAATGCTTCCTCAAAAATAGCCAAGCATTGGACATCACGAATCTGCACCGAGCCTGAGGATCCAATTCTGGTGTGCAGCGACACAAAACCATCTGGGATCAAAACACTCCGTGCATTGTTACCATTGTTTTGACAAGCCCGGAATTTGCCCGGTAACGTGACACAGGGCGAAGTGAATCTGTACTAGGCACCGAGCAGTGCGGTGAATCTAGTGGAGACGAGAGGAGAAGAGACGGCAAACCTTCGATATGAAGACCACCGCGGCAATCGCAAAACCGCGTCACGATGCTTGAGACTTTCCGCCAAGCACCGAACTGGAAAGGAATTGTCATCAGCTTCGTATGTAGCATCGCCATCGGAATTTCTTCACAATTTTCAGTGTACAACGACGATACCCCAAAACCATGAATCGGAGTGGCCTTCGCACATTTCGGCAATTTTCTGTAGATCGCAACAGCCGTTTACGAATGCAACTGTAACCCTCAGTTTATGAATGCAAGAATCCATCAGGCGTTCGCGTCCATTATCACCCAGCTGAATCAGAGATTGACGTCATCTAAGTTAAGTGATCCATCTGTCTTTTCTAGCCAAAACAGCGATGTTATTGCGTCCTAGCTAGAAAAGTTCAACCGACGTGCGATTTGAGGTGTTGCGGCATTTGAGCCTTCCATGGCCGTGGAGCTGCACACAGGTCCACAGGGCATGAACAAGCATCAGGCTGAGCGAATGTGTGCACGAACGAGCGAAATGTGCCAAGCCCACGAGACCAGCCCGCACGTTGCGCTTGTCACCGTCTACACATGTGATCTCATCTTCGAAGGATGCACCTGCTTGATGGCCAAAGGATGAGCATTCTGAGCAAGTGGGGAGGTGACATGGGCATGCGGGCATGCTCCTTTGCTGAATCGCATGGAGGGACGGGTCAGCTTGCGGCCTGAATGTGGTGACACGTGGCCAAACGGTTTCGTATTTCGGACTTGACATGACATTCCTCTTTCAGTAACATGCTGTGCTCTGTAGTCTTCGATGGTTTGATGCCTGGCGTCACCTGGCCTCGCCATGCCTCGCCTCAACCTGGCCGACAAAAACTTTCATCCGAACGTTACCTAGCGGCCTAGCCTATACCTCCTTTGCATGCCGTCAAGAACCCAATCGGTCTGCCTTATCCTTCTTAGACCGGAAAAGAACTTTAAACATCTTAAACATTGCGATTTAATGTAATGGAATGTATTCATGTATATCTGTATACCGGTAAACTAGCGCGGTTTGGAAAACATGGAAACCAGAGACAAGGCACGGAGAGCCGGGAGAGCAACAATACGCGGTCAACCATAAACTATCATAAACTCCACGGCTTTCGTGCAGCATTTTAAAGAAAGGAACAAACAAAGACGTAAAGAAAGAACAAAACAAAGATCTCAAACTCAAAGACCTCGAACTGGCGCCCCGCCAAGGATCCGAAGCCACACTGAGTGCAGTCACTGAAAGAGGAGGCCACCCAGGCAGCACCCAGCCAAGCTGGAGGACGGTTCCTGCGAAATTCAAGAGCATCTATCCAGACCAAAAGCAAGAGTTCAGGTCATGTGTTCTGGATGTCTTGATCAAATCGGATAACTTTTGCGACAAACGTCTCGCACCGTACTATCTCGTGGGCAGTAGAACATAGTAGAACTAAGCTGACAGCTGGGCTGTGGATGCAGGCAATGAAGAGCGTCGAACAGCGGTGCCCAAAGACTCCCCACCAAACCCGTCAAATTGCAAACTTCGCCAAGCCGGCATCTACCCAGACATAAAGCACAGTGGCTGCACACAGCTTGCTGACCTGATGCAACGCACACTCCAAACATGATCCCTTCGTAACACCAACAACATCAAGCAACCCATCATGAGCACGGCCAATGGTAGCCCATGGCACGGAGGGACTGTTGTCGTAGTCGGTGTCGTGCTTGCAGTCTCGCTGTCCCGAACGACAGAAGCTGCGTGAGCAGACAGCAGAAAAATGCCCACACTTTGGAGTGCCGTTCTGCTCATCGCCGGCATGGCTCACAACTCGACATGACCTAAGTTGCACCTGAATCTTTCGAAGCATACGGCTAGGTTGTGGGACATCAGCATTCTCCACCAGGAATTGGTATGACGCGCTACAATCGGCTCTTGTCTGGAGGCTGGTTGCAGGCAACAGATGACCTGGGGCAGGGACGCGGGGTTGCATGAAGCCACGCTGACACACACTCTTCATCCACTGCCACACAAACGGTAACGGCAAGTGACGAGCAAATAAAGACATGGGTTTATGCGAACCTCCTATTGGGTCTAGAGCAGGAAGGACGGGTGCGGGCGCGAAAACAGCGGTGCCCAAAACCCAGAGGCTTGTAATCGCACATAATCGCACCAAGCGAGGTTGAATTGGGTAGCTGTGCTGGCACAGCTCTCAGGGTCAAGGCAACTTGCAAAATGTGCAAAAAACACATAGCTAAACTAGCTAAACGAAAGGTACACTCAGCTTGGACTCCAAACTAACTACATATTCGAAGACGTCACTGATCAATTTCACATGTTGCTTGCCTGTGGGGGGCAGCAACCACAGCCATCCCCACAGATCTGCCCGCTCCCTCTTGAAACAAGCACACGGAATTGTGCAGCAGCCATGCCCCATCGATGTCCAATGCGGGCAGATCATCTGCAGGTGCAGTGAATTTGATGTGCACAGTCACATCACAGTCATGCGTGTTTCCTACGATAAACTCGAAACACATATCTACTGTGCCCTTGTCAATGCCTTGATGACGAAAACTATTTGACTTGATACCAATTGGCTGGCACTTGCGCGAATTACTTTGTAAAATCGTTGCAATCTGTACAATCCTGGGAGCTGTCCGGCTAGGTCACGTTGACCAGCCGTGAACATGGGCCGACCTGTGCCGACCTTCGGGTTCCGTTACCATTTACGACAGCTTACGGCGGAGTTGGGAGTTGCCCTGAGAATCTGGCAGCTGTTTCTCTGCTTCCAGCTCGCTGCTGGGAACCCTTCAAGAATTCGTGCAGGTGCTCATGCTAGTCAGTCTTCTGCATTTTTCACCCATGCTGAGCAGAGGGCCAAGAAGCTCATTCGTTTGAGAGCCTGACTTGTCTTGACATGTCAAGACAAACTTCATCGATGCCACTCTGGCAACCCCAAACAACCTGAAGCACACAAAACATACTGCTTCTCTGCAACGTTACCTGGCTGCTGATGTGATGGATTCAGGTGTGCTCGGCGAAGAGACTTCGTGCAAAGAGAACCATGAGTCCGATGAGGATCCACTCGAGCAATCAAGTTCCAGGGCAGCTGCTTTTATCTTATTCAAGGGGCGTAAACTGCGTCTGTCTATGCGTGGCAGCTGTTCATTGTCGACTCCCCGCAAACAGAGAAAAGTGCAGGGTTTCCTTCCAGGCAGCTGGGAATCGCTTCACTGACACCTCGCATATCGTCGCAGATCGTTGTCCAGGGTGCGTTGAAAGTCGGAAGTTAAGTGTTTGCAGCTCTCCGACAAGTTCCCTGCAACTGAAATTTGGTTACAACATGGCAACATGGTACAACTGCCGTCTTGAACCAGTGTCGCAGCATTCCGGTTACAAGGCTCGCGTGCAATGCACACTTGGCCCGTGTCTTTGAGAAGGGATGGAGCTGTTGCCGCCGCTGCTGCGGCTGCTGCTGTTGGCAACAATGGCGAGGCAGACGCCGTGGTTTAGGTCTGTTGGTGCATGACAATACTGGCAGGCGCTGCACTTTGAATTTCAATCTTGTGATCGTTGACATTCCAATTCAACATGTCAAGCATGTTTTGAATTTTTGAGGGATGAGGACATCCAGCAGCTTCTCTGGAAAATATTTCCCAAGCCCGAGAACGTAGAGAAACAATCCTTATGGAGGCCACGGCTGGTTTCTATCGCACCATCATGGTCTGCAGGATGGCGCCGGGTCTACTGCGGCACTGCTGTCCAAACCAGCAATAATTACGAGTATCGAGTGCGGTGGATGAAAGGCCGCGTCTTTCCATGAAAGAACACCAAATTCAGCCTCACAACTCAATGCATAGACGTGTGCATTTTGTGTGATAGGTCGCCGGCACGAACCGCCGAAGGTTGAGGTCCTGGCTGTGGGACTTGACATTAACGTCTCTGCAGGGACACTTGGACTGTGCACTACAGTAGTGCAGATAGGTAGATCTGAGTGAAACTCAAGCGCAGGGTCCATGTCTGATCATGTCTGTGTGTGGGCTCAGTCGACCGCGCATGATGCGTCACGCGTGTTTGGTCGCTGCGAGATAGCAAGCATCACTGGACTTACACTCGTAGTCTGGAAACCTGGGATGTTGTCCGATCAGAGGCATCGAATTACGCAGCTGGGAAGCAGACAAACATGAAGACTCTGGGGAGCATTCTCTTGGCGTAGAAGGGGCTCCTTGGTGACAACTAAGCCAGTGCAGGATCTAAGAGTCCGACGCCAAACAGATACAGCCGTCCTAACGGAGTGCACGGCACGGTCAAGCATGTTGAGCCGAGCATCTTCAGCACCCGCAATTTGGGCTTCAGCAGCCGTACCGAGCTTGGAACTCAGCCAGCAGGCTCGTGTTCAGCTGTCTGTGCAACTGCATGTAGGCAGGCGCTCGTTGTTAGTGCTGTAGGTACAGGCTTGACACATTAAGGTCGAACCCTAGTCAGTCAGTCTGTATCTGCATACGGCACCGCTTCTCTTAAGGGCTGACGCAAACGTCTCCATCGCTGGCCGCTACTGCTTGGCGATTCCTCTTGGGTCCGTGTCACCCGAATAGTGATCCTGCGAGGCATTGCGAGCATTTGCGAGCCTTGTGGTCGGGAGAAGGACCGAGTCTTCGCTAACTTGGCGGCAAAGAGACGGGAGCGAGGCTGCCATACAAGAGATCTCCCAGGCGACAGGCTGGAACGCAAATCCGGTAGTTTATCGACATGCAGCTGCGCTCTTTTGACATCCGTGGATAAACCCATAGACAAGATGGCACGACACGGCAACAGTAAGCTATCGGGGCTCCAACCGGCGCTTTGCGGCGATCTCCTGCGGGCTTGATCTCTGCCAGAGCTCTGTCTATACTCTATACATTACATTATTATCTCAGCCACAAACCCCAACAGCCATAGAATACCACACAATTGGTCCAATGTGTTTTCTTCCAGTATCTTCCAGTGGATGATAGTGGATGCCTAAGTAGGGCCTTTCAACCAAACGCCGCTTCAATTCTGTCGCTGTTTGGTAAACCTGCATGGTTGCCGGGCGGGGTTCAGGAGATTGCTGTTTGATCCGGAGCCCTGCTACTGGGCGCAGGGGTTAAGTCGACCCATCCCGTCTGAGGTCGACCCACCCCCATGGTCACGCCTCGATTCGTGTGACGTCGACCCACCCGCAAAAAGTCGATCCATCGGCCCATAGATTAGGAATCCCCAAGTACACGCCAGGTTTCAAGGGGATGGCCCAATGTGCAAAATCGATACGAAATGCGAAACTCTCCACAAAATTAAAGCCATAGAGCAACGAAGCGGAGTGAAAAGCACTTGGAATCCCCAAGTACACGCCAGGATTCAAAAGCACGGCCCGATGCACACTATCAGCACGAAATGTGAAACTCTCCACAAAATCTGAAGCCTTGGAGCAACGAAACTCAGCAAGCTGCAACCCACACAAATCAGCTTTTCCCCATGTAGACGCTCGATTTGAGAAGCACCTGCTCAAGACACAAAAGTCGGTTTACTACCCCAAAGCTTGTGAGATCTGCAAAACACAAAAGTTTACTACGTACCCCCAAGGCTTCAAACCTGTAAAACACGAAAGCTTACTCCGCCGGGACTGCAGCCTGGCCGGGGAAGGTTTTAATTTTGCAGGTAGCTGGAGGGCCAAAACCCGGGTTTTTATAAGGGGTCTAGACTTGGCCCGACTTGGCGAGGCCGGCGCGAGGTCCGCGAGAGGCAGTCAGAAGTCACATCTAAGAGCCTTAGCCGCCTTAGCCTAGCTCGCAAATCACATCACCCGGTGAATACTCAGTCAAGTCTAGTTGGGTTTTGCACGGTAGACAACTGGCTCCCGAGCATTGCCTCGGAATCCCCATGTGCTTGCCGGTTCGAGACGAAGGCCGGTATCCCCATGTACACGCCCGCGCGAGGACCCTGCACGGTTGATGTTTGGATGTATGCCGGGCCGGGCCCGGACTCAACGCAGAAAGATGTGTATTTCCTCAACAAGACTGATGCGAGCTAAACCCTCCCCTGGTAGCAGCCGTAGTGGCCGCATTACCGGTTCCCCCATGTCCGCGCACGCTCGCACGCAACGACTTCCGCAAGACGCTACGACTTAGGTCAGACCCTTGTACCCATGTAGACGCTCGAATTTGTAAGCACGAGCTCGAGAGGATAGTGGCATCGCAGACAGCAAACAGCAAATCAACACCAGCCATTCCCCTTGTAGACGCTGGGTTACGCAAGCACCAACTCGAGACACAAGTGGCATCGCAACATATCCAAGCTCAAGGAAAGACCGCGCACAGTACTGCATCACGGAAACGACATATGATAGAGGTATTGAAAACTAGCCCAAACCCTGCGACACATGGGGTTAGGACGACAGGGACGACTTAAGCCTACCGCTAGTATGTCAGCCCAACAACAACGCCAGGACAATGTTTTGTTTCATGGTTCTTGCATATGTCCCAGCTGGGAGTGCGCAAAGGATCGCAAAGGCATATGATGGCATATGCGTTCCCGGACTGCTGCGTTTGCGCTCCTTGTGTCCGGACGCACGTTACCCGGAGTGGGTCCCGTGCTTAAACAAAGGCCAAGTATGGCCAAATCATGCATCAGGGAACCTGTTTCACAAGCACACGTGCAGACCCCGTCGTGCGCAAAAATATGCAAAAATATATTCGCGGACTGCTGTGTTCGCGCTCCTTGCGTTCGCGACAAACGCTTCCGTCACGCACCTGTGCCACAGTTAGCGTGCTTCTCATAAGCACGACATGCGTTGGCCGCGTCTCGACCTGCGCGTGCGAAGAAACATTATGTTCCTACTCACGTTACCCAGCAACAACGTGCCCGGAGAGCGCATGGCAGCACTCGCATACCTTTGACATGGGGAGTGCTGTGTTGCTCTTCCGAGCGCACGGACATGTTCATTCGCCAACATGGCTCTTCTGTGGCATCACACGCCACACGCACGCATCATTATCACAAGAAGACATGTATGGCGCGCATGGCTGCATGCGGCGCATGTAGCTGCATCAGCGAAACTGCTGTGTTCTTGCGCGAGCATACTGGGAATTCGATTTCTCCATGCGCAAACAGACATGCATGTTTATACAAGACAAGGAATGCTGCATTCTCGCGCCGCGAACACAGTTGCATGCTTCGCACTCCCTGCACAAACAGACATGTTCATGCGAACAAACTGCTGCGTTCTCACGCCACCAGCACACTTGGATCTCCCTCAGTGTGCAAAGAGGCATGCCCATGCAATCAAATAAAGACGGCTGCGGCTGCGATCTCACGCCGCGAACACGCTTGCGTTGGATCTTTCTCCGTGCGCAAAGAAGCATGTTCTTGCAATAAATAATTAACTGCTGCATTCTCGCATGTTCTCGCGCCGCGAGCATGCTTGGATCTCTTTCTGTCTCTGCGCGCGACTTCCGTGCGCATAGAGACATGTTCAGGATTGTTCATGCAGTGAAAGCCTGCTGCGTTCTCGCACAGCGAGCACGCTTCTCTTACTCTCATCTCTCATCTCTCTCTCCAAGCGACTTCCGTGCGCAAAAAGACATGTTCATGCAATACAAACCGCGTTCTCGAGCCGCGAGCACACTTGGATCTCACTCCGTGCGCCCACAAAGAATAAAGACACATGTTACTACGAAAAGACTCTGCATTCTCATGCCGTGAGCACACTTGGATCTCTCTCCATGCGGAAACAGGCATGTTCATACGACAAGACTGCTGCATTCGAGCACGCTTTGATCTCTCTCCGTGCGCAAAAGGGCATGTTCATGCGAACAGGTTGCTGCGGTCTCATGCCGCCAGCACACTTGGATCTCACTCCGTGAGCAAAAAAACATGCTCATGCAAAAAGACAGCCGTGATCTCGCGCGCACCACCAACATACAAAACGTTTGTCATTGTGGACGCCAGTTCAAGTTTCTGCAATCACGCGCGTGCACACCCTTACACTTCCAATTTCGGGAGCCCGTAATCCGAAACTTGCTCACCGTGCCTTTGCTTTACCGATTGTAGACCCCATAAGCACATCCGCTGATGGTGAATTTTACAACACATGACAGTGACAGCACAAAATAACGATGCAGGAACGCCAACCTTAAGATTCCTGCAGGCCTTGATTCGGCTTCAGCGATCCAACTAGGGCTGTACGACGTTGATCAAGTTTGCGCTGTTGAGCAGATGGCAGAAACAGAGGTTTCGGGTTTCGCACCAAAGACGTCCTGTCACGATTCACGACCGTCCACCGAACATCACCACGTGCGCAGACCGGGATCGGGGTTTCGCACGCAGCATTTTCGCTTGGGGTCCAGAGCTCTCCAGCTTGCAGTTCCAGGGAGTGTAAAGTATCCGACCCAACCCATCCTTCAGTGTATGTACGATTTCGTTTGCTCGTTTGCTTCCAGCCAGCACAGGCCTGTAGAGTTTTCAGATCCTTCAGAGTTCGAGATTTCCCCACCAACATGGCATCGTTTTTTCTGTAAGTCGTGATCTCATGCTATCTCGGTTCTGTGGGTCACTGACTCGAGGCCATGGGGACAGGTTGGTACTTCTTGCTACATGTGCATAGGGGACTGCTTGAGCACTTCTTGGCATTGCTGCGCATGCTTCTGCCAGCACTCTAGCTTAAAGCCAGTGACCAAATGTGTACAAGTTCTGCAAAGGGGATGCATTGTCCCGGGCCTCGGTGAGGACATGTTGGAAGAGCGCCTGTCCAGGAAGATCTAAACTTGCGCCGCACTGCTTTCGGAAGGGCCATCCATCTTGCTAGGATCCTTTAAGCTAACTTTCAGCTGTGTGCTGACAAGCTCCTTCTCTTGGCCAGGCTCTGTGTCAATTTGGAGCGCGGCGTGCGCTCCACGGGGAGCGGAACTGGAACCTGCACGGAAGCGAATGCTAGTACAAGCATTCCCTCTAAGGCTTTTGCAGGGTCTAAACAGGCAGGGTCCTCAACTTTCTGCTGCACTGTTTCGCGGCGACCCCGGCTCTTGCCTCGGCCTTCTGCGCCGGTGCCTCTGACGGCGCAGCTTCAGAGCCTGTGGGCGCTGTGCTCTGGTTCTTCCCAGGACTGCGTTCCCAGTCCGGAAGTTGGATGATGCTGGAAGTCTGAACTACTCTCCCTCTTTGCATGCTACTAGTGACTGCTTTCATCTGCCTTCGCTGCAGTAATTCATCTCCGATCCGGGTACGAGGCGAACCTCGCAAGGAGCTGCCGGCGCTGTCTGCCAGTCGATCCGCAGCCCTTGACACGGAGTGCACAGATTGTGAGAAAGACAGCTTGGTCCCAGCTTGGTCTACATGCAGAGCAGTGTGGCAAAGAAAATCACCATGGCCTTCGCAGTCTTGAAGCCGCTAAGTTGGATGGCGTGGACCTTGAGCTCAAGGCGAAGAGTCGAAGCGACTTTGCTCCCCCTCTCTATGAGCACGAGGCTTTGCTGGTTCTTTGCCAGTTTCATCCTGGTCATCTTCGATGGAAGACAGCAACGATGCCTTGCACAAAGGACCCACGACCCGTCAGGCTTTGCAAGCAAGCAGTTGCTACAAATCGGACCAGCACAATGGCAGCCTGCAAAGCTGGAAGATTGTTGCTGAGCTACTGACAACACAGATGCGGTCGCTGCCCTTGGTCTTTGCAAGCAACCGGCCTGTCCGCGGGTCAAGTCTGACGGCCGGTAGTCCGGGAAGGTCCCGAGATGTCAAGCAGACTCGGCACCCGCTCGCCAATTCCAGGCAAGGATCCGTCTGGTTGCAATCGGATGTTACGAGAAGTCCCATTGCCCAGCGAGGCCCGCTCAAACTCAGATCCTACGCTTTTCGTCTGAATCACAAAGCAAACGATACAGGGGGCACACGTCATGCATTCAACAACATGCCCCCTCGCGACACGGTTCCATGTTGTGGTTGCGAAGGTGATCGGATCTCAGAACTAGGCGAATATGCTTGCGCCGAAACTCCATGAAAATTGAACATCTTACAAGTATTTTATAGTATCTTACTCTGGATTTGCATTGTGTACGGATGGCAACCTAGCGAACTTCTGTAAACCCGTGGTCACTTGGCATACCCACTGAAAATCAAGAAACGCTTCGGAATGGTGCCTCGGTTCAGCCTGGTGACAATTGGCACGGTGCCTGTCACGGTCACATTCGGGCGACTTGCGTCTGCTTAGCCCATGACACAACTGTAAGCACTGTAAGCAACCTGTGCCCCTGTGCTGGACATGCAGATGTAGCATTAAAGAAGCCTGCAGAAGATGCATCACAAAGAGCAAGAAGACACTTCAACTTCAATATACACAGACGACGACCAGCAGCTTCCTGTTTCTTGGAGCTTCTCTCAGCATTCACAACCAAGATTTACAGCTGGCTTAGCCAACTTGGCATGAAAGAGACCTCTCGCTATACAGACTCAAAACCCGGCCCATGTGCTCAATTCACAGATCTAGGGTATGATCCGTGCTAAATCAACGTTGCTGCTGCACTCGTTCATGAGCAGCAACTAGCAGCGAGATGTAGCGAGTTCCGAAACCGGCCGATGCAAACTTCCACCAAGCACCCCGCTGACTTTGATTCGCGTGACTGCTCCACCGGTATTGCCAAGCAGGACTTCCTCACAGTCCTCGCAATATCTCGCAACCGTCTGTGTCCGTGAGAAAAGCATGAGAAAACCCTAGCATCTGACACTGACGATGTGTGTCTCCTCCTGGCGGAAGGCCTCCAGCGCTTCCTCGTACCTGACAGTCTCTCTTTCTGTGGCCGAGCGCTCGCACCCACTTGTCAAGCGGTGTCATCTCCGGCACAAGGAAAAGTTCGCAAAGGCAGATCCTTCGAGCTGTCGTGCTGACTGGCCTCCGTAAACGCCTGTCGCCGGTCTTTCGACCCTCTGCTTGCCGGACGAACCCAACTTACGGAGACTAGTGCTTCCTCCAAGCTCGCAGGCTCGCATCTTGGCTAACATTTTGGATCGCATACTTTAGCTGTACTTCGATTCGCGGCGCACTTCCGCTTTGCTTCGTCTTCCTGCTCTTGGTACGGCCTCGTGCCAAAGACATACTTTGGCTCGAGAGCGCTGCTGATTTCTCGGGGCGCAGCATCATGTCCTCTTGCGGCAGATTGTTGAAAATCGCCTAAGTGAACACGCTCCGTTCGCAGACAAGCCCGGCATGGCCAACAGTAACAGCAACGTTGCGGAAAGCTCATGGCTGTCATGGCTCTTGCGTACTTCCGGATCAGGGCATGACAACATAAACCCAGTGTGGAAGAAGCTCGCAATGCGTAATCAGCAGGGCCGCTCATGTGGACACTGCAGCGCTTGCGCGCCTCTGTGGAATCCCCATGGTCCTTGAGGTAAAGCTGGAGCCTGCAAGTGCTGTGCACCCGCACATGCAAATACGGCGCATGGGGATCATGCCATGTCTCTGACTGAATTCTGAATATAATAAACTTGGAACTTGGTCCGTTCACGGCTCTGCAAAGATCGGTACAAGCAAGGACTGAAATCCCAGCCCAGGTCGAAGTCTCGGGGCCCAACGCTCCCAAGGGCTTCTCAGGTTCCCGGATGTCCTTTCCGGACACGACACACGCCTTCAGGAGCAGGAAAAATAATCTCACGGTTTTTTCTGAGGATAATGTTGGATAATCATGCTCATCACTGGCTATTCTAATTATACTCATTCTTATCACGGGCTATCTAAGGTTAATCGTGCTAGTCACGGGCTTGGCTTTTTGGCTTTTCCTTGTCACAGGTTTTCTATGGATAACCATGGTTATCAGGGGTTTTCCTAATGACAGTTGCGTCACCACTTCATCTAGCTCATACTCCCTCGTGCTGGCATCAACTTGCGGCCTTAGCCATAACTAGCTCGGACCGTCTGGGTTCATGCACTCCATGCGATACATTCCGATACGAACAACATCGAGCCATGCCGCCATCAATGGAATGGATTACACGCCGCCAGCATGCACAGCCCGACGCAAGTGTGCTGAGCTGCTTGCAGCCGCCACGCTGTCATGGTCGGCCACCCTGCTCAGCTCGGAACCCTCCCTTGCAACGGATGCATGAAGGAAGACGGAGGCGAATCTGTCGTCAAGACAAACTGCCACTGAGCCACACTGTACAAAGACCACTTCCGGCTGCACACCTCCTGTGAATGCAGCCAAAGTTGCTTCAGAACGCGCTTAGGAACTCCTCCACGACGTCCGAGGCCAATTCTGACAAAGATGGCCCGAGCTGGTACCGTGGGGGCCAAGTTCTGAAAGTTTGCCGGACCTTTTGGAACTGAGCGGGATCCTCGCACCCAAGCCACACTTTGTGACGAGCAGGACGCACGGTCCCCTCAGCAAACATAATCTGCGGCAATGTCTGCTCCCTTCACGATGGCAGCAAACCTGGACATGGGTTTGCTGCAGTAAGTCTCGCGCGGATCCGAGTTGGCAGGTTCAACCTGCTCCTGTCAAGTCTTCAAGCAAGAATCGGCCCAAGGCGCCAGGTAGCCACCAGGTAGTCGTGGCTTCAGCGAGAAGCCAGATTCTCTTGCGGAGCCATTGAGTCAGTCGGTTCACACGTCAATTCCACCAGCCACGGGCCACACACATACTCAACTACGGCCCTCTTACCACTAGTGAGTGAGCAAAGTCACTGAGCGAGGCAGCCTTTTTGCTGAAGGGGTGACACATGCGTGCACTGTGACGCTTCAAGCATGAAGCACCGCTGCAGATGCCGAGCTTGCTCTGGCTCTCAAGTTGCGGCGTGGTGAAACAAGTTCCGGCGTGGTGAAACAATCCACGTTGGATTTGCTCTCAATGGAATCGCGCAAAGGCAGATGGGGTAGTCGCGCAAATGGCACACATCGTGCAACTGATGGACAGTCTCGTACTGTGCGCTTAGTACAAAGTCTAGCCTGAAGCACATCAGAGTGCAGCACAGCGCAGCTAAGCCTTCTGACCGTCACAGGTGGCAGGCAAAGACTTCAGTCAAGCAAAATGAAGCACAGCGAACATGGCTTGTGACAGTTTATGTTCAACCTTGGCTTGCCACCTTCTGCTTCATTGGTGCAAGGATTTGCTCGCACGGCAGGAGCCGAAGCAAGCAGATCAGATGATTTTATGGACTAGTCGTACACGATGTAGTCCAGGCAGGCTTCACCGCCATGCACATGTCCCAGACAGGATGTGACTTGACTCTGTTGATAAATTCAAGGATCATGGCTGTTGGCTTTCGATCCGGTGGGAATAGCAGCATGCCCGGCATGCCATGTCTCAGACTCTCAGCAACAAACCCTCGCGCTCGCAGATTCCGCTGCAGTCATGAAGACTGACCTTTGATGAATTCTGTGCAAAGTGGTCAGGGTGCTTGAAAAATCACAGCATGTGTCAAGTCTCAGTTGCCAAAAGCTTTGCTGAAAGCCTCCCGACCAAGCCGCCCGGCATCCTCTGCCACTTCGACTGCCCCTGCCCTTGCCTGCCCCCCCCCCCCCCCCCCC